AATTCTTAATCAGAGGCTGAAACATCAAATAATATAACTGAGATGGCTTTGCAGTTAGCAATTGATCCTCTGTATATTTGAAAAACTTCCAGAGCAAAAGGAAGTACAGTCTTTTGCATTACACTGTAATGAGCAGATTAATTAAATGAAATAAGAACTGTGTTTAAAACCCATGTATAAAAAGGAATGTCCCATCTCAGGCAGCCAACTGGTATGCTCAGTTTTCAGATCAAGGCACAGTATTTCTGGAGCACTGGTTTTTCATCAGGATGCAATCCATAATGCTACAAAAGTGAAGATGCAGAGAATCAGCCCTTTTTTTTTATATACAAAGGATTATAAAAGGAATTAAAAAACACGGACATTTAAAGCAGATTTAATTGTTGAGATAAAAGATATTAAAAGTACTAAAAATAGGAACTACTTTTTTTTCAACTGACAAAGCATCAGATGTTATTTGTTCTTTCACCCAGCAAACAAAAACCAGTTGTTTGGATGTCAGCTGTTGAAAAAATCATTGTGTGAAAGTTAAAATGCTCACTGAAAAAGCACAGTTCAATTAAGCACAGTCTGCCCAGATCAGTCAGAGAAGGTCATGCATTAGTGACACACAGGAGTGCTCTGAAGAGGTCACTGCCATGACGGATGAAAGGAATTCAGTAGATTTATGATATCCTAATTTGACAATGCCCTTTCCTCAGAAATTAATGACTGCAGGACAGTGCTAGGACATCAGGAGTAAATGAAACTGTTAGTTAAATATAAGAGCTGGAAGAATTACATTTGAAAGCTTTTTTGTGTTTTTCAATGTTTTGAGGGGGAATTATGTAGGTGTAAATCAAACTTCTAGTACACTCATATTATTTGGTTTGGGACAAGGATAGTAACTCCTTTTAAAGGGCAACTAAATTACAGGGAGATTACATTACCTAAAGGAATCAGTAGATGACCAAGTTGATTCTGTTATTTAAGACGCTTAATATGGACCAGCTGGACAACCACTTACCATGGAAAAATGTGTTGTCCCACGGTGAAATATAAGATCTTTACCAAGTCTTTGGAAAAACCCAAGCATAAATTAACTGGTGTATACATACAGCAGCATTTTGTACCTACATTCAGCAGCTTTTTAAATGCCATCCTGGAAGATACAGATGTGTAAAATTTTCTTCATAAATTCTTTCAGTGCCTCTAATGGAACAAAAAAATTTTTCTACAAATATTAAGCTACCCAATACAACCAGAGCAGATCTAGTACATAATCTTACGAATTTCTGATAGTACACAGAAGGTGCCATCTTCTATGAAATGCAGCAAGTTTTCAAAGTAATTGCTGAAGAGCTCTATCAAATACACATTAAAAGTTCTTTTTTCTGTGTAATTGAAACTTGTGTTATTAAGTTACATTTTTAAAATGCTGATTTTTCTCCTAGATGAGAATTGGTATGAAGTAATCAGAATTAAAACCAGGTGTCAAAGACAAAGTCCAGCTGGGCCAGAGAATCAGAAATTATGAGTGCAAGAGATAAGCCAGAAGTTAGGACAAGGGATAATGAAAGGCTGGATAAAACATACATATCCACAACGATGGGATATTATCACAATATTCTTAGAATCAATTAAACTGTCATTTGTTTTTTTCCCCTGAACTTCTCCTTCCTTTGATCTGGTCTGAAGGGAATTTATTGTTCATACCTTTGAGATAAGTATTTTCTGCAAGGGAGACAATCTGCCTTTTCTGGTTCAAATGTTGAAAGACACCACAGTCCTTGGAGCTTTGAGCCCTAGTGTTGGTTCTGTGCCTGCACAGGGATCCTTCCCCAGTGAACTCAAGATTCCAGACCCCAACATGATTTCCTCTGCTTCACAACACAATATGTACAAACACTAGCCAGTAGCCTGAACCCCCTACAACTCTGAAAAATCAGTTTTCCAGATGGCAAGCTGATCTGACTTGGCTACTCAAAAGTTTTGTAGATACCAAAGGAACTAGAGCACATGGAGGGGCACCCATAGTTGATTATTTCTGAGCAATGGGAAAGGTAGTTCAGGTATGGACGAGCACAGCAGCTCATTATCATTTTAACCAAGGTATCTTTATGTAAAGGTTTTAAAACAGAACCAAGTTACCATGGAAACTGATTGAAGCAAAGACTTACTGCAAATTCTTTTCTAGACAATGATAACAGGACTGACAGGTGGGCTGTAAAAGGAAAACGAGTGCAATACAGAGTAAGGCATGCTGACTTGTTTCCCCTTCCTAGAAGTGTTGCCATTTACAGCTCTGCTTTATTTCTACATTTTCTATGAAAATACTTTAGAAGAAGCTCTCATCTAAATGAACCTTTTATTTTGTAATAATCATATTTGCAAGGGGATATACAAGAAAAAAGAGCTAAAGAGGCATGGCATTCCACTTATTTTCCCAAATTATTCTGTTTTATTAGAACCATCAGGGAGGGAGAGCCATCTCTCAGGAAACACATTTGTGTAAAGTGCCCTTTCCCACCAATGTTTATTTTTTGGTATTGAAATATGCTCTAGGTATGTTTACATCCTAGCACAGCATTCCCCTTGTACACTGTGAAAGAAAGTAACAGGAATTAAGTGATTTTACCGAAGAAATACCTCTTTTCCTTTTCTCATAAATTTAAAAGTATACCTATTTTCTGTAATCCTATTAAAAAAGTGATTTGTCTCTGTAAATATCTTTCTTAGCCTGATGGATGATGGTAAGAATAACAGAGATTAGAGTACTCAGCCCTCAAAACATAGTGCCAGAGTTTTAAGAAAGGAAATTGGCAGAATGAACAGCAGAGTTTGTACCTTTTCGACTTGGAATAGTTAGCTGGCAGCACTGGAAAAGATTTCAGCATATGAATATGCAATTCTGTTTTTTCTTTTTTTTTTTTCTCTTTTCATTTTTTGCCGGGTGTTTCTACCTGCTGTGCTTAATTTCAGAATCTTGTGTTTTCATTAGAGAAAAATAATGTCTTTTGCAATATAATATTCTACTAGAAGGAAGGCAGGAGAAGGGGGAGATTGTCCTGATACTTTTCTAGCCCAAAGTTTCTTCTTGGTTCTACCTCCCAGAGGAGCAGTGTTTGTACGTGCCCTTCTGATACAATCTATAAAACAATATTCTTCCAAGTTCTAGGAAGTCTGCTGTCATCTACAGACATGTTTGGTCCCAATACACTAGAACCACAACAGACAATCACCTTTTCCAGCAGGTTTGCCTTGCAGCTAAAAGTAACAGCAGCAGCTGCTTTTGTTGTCAGAAGTAAATACACTTCTCACCTTCAGTCTCTGCCTTTCTCAGCATGAGGGGGTGGGGACTTGACAGATGGTTCCTGCTAAGTAATCACAGATAAAATGGTATTTGGTGTATGGCATAAATTTCCAGGCAAATAAGAATGTTTTTTATTTAATATCATCCCTGTGAAAAGCTGGATTCTTAATAAAATGTGGCATGCCCCAAGGCAACACATCTTACATGTTAAAGTGTATGAGGATGAGCCTAGTGGCAGAACTCCCTGATAGATGATGCACAAGGCAACTTTTACTTGTCATAAGCGAGTTTTGATCACTGTATTTATTATATGTAAAGCTTCTTGTCAATCAGACAAAGAGAAACATGAATCCTAATTCTACTCTTTTTAAGCTAATTACATCTTCTATTCTGTCCACTGTACAATATTTGGGTATCTCTGAGCCACAGAAAGCTGCCAGTCCTGGCTTAGCTGTCAGGCACTTGGGCAGAGATTTGTGCAGTCCTTGAGAATGGACACTCAAGGACTCCTTGAATTAAAGGCAGAACCATTTAAAGAAAGCCATTTTAAGTACTTTTATGCTTTTTGTCTTCATTCTGACACAAATCCTACTGGAAAAGGGTCAAAAAACATAGTTGCTGTCCTTCTCAAGCAAATAATTTCCCCATTAACATAACAATTATTTCAAAATGTGTTTTTTAATTCTAGAAATAGTATACCAATAGTTAACAGTTTAATACAATTGAAATTCCTTGGCACTACTGTACATTTCCAGTTTTAATTATTTTTCATATATGGTTGTATGACAAAAATGTGTTGTTTCAAATAATCTAAAGAGGTGTTTATCTTGGACTTACTTAAGGAAATCAGAGGTTTACAAATAAGAAGGTTGGTAGTAGTTAAGGTCATAACACAGGACAGTACAATTTTAATTTACAAATTCTCACCTAAAGGCATGATAATTCAAAGCAAAGGTGAGGAAAAGATGCAAAAGAGATGGAGGAGGGATTGTTTGGAACTGGAAAAAGCCAAGATACAAGTTCTGGGAGAAAAAAAACAACCACAATGAAAAACCCAACAAACAAACAAACAAACACAATGCCAAAACCCCTCAAAAAACAAAACAAATCAAAACTCACCACCAAAAAACATCAAAGAGTGATAAACCAGAAAACAGAACAGACAAACCTTAAAACCAGACTTTACAAATTTGCCATTTGCAATTTAAGGATAATTCTTCCAAGCCTGATCAGAATTCTGTGAAAATCACTGAACTTTGCAGAGTTGTCTCAGATAGGTACCTTGTAAACTTCAAGACCAGGCCTAAAAGAAATCAGGTCAGTGCTGCAAGTAAACCAGTCTGTGACACCTCTAGGCATGAGTGGTCATTCTAAAGGTCTTGTTTGGGCTTCCAGAGGACAACTTGACAAACACTTGTACTCTCTGTTTCTCATAAACATGCATTTTCTAAGGCATACATTATTTCTACATGTTTGTGTTGACACGTTTTGTGAAAAAAATGTATATAAATAGGTTTTGTGCATGGATTTAAGTAGTTAGCAGTATAAAATTATGTCAGTATTCATATCTGCAAACTTGTTACTTCAGTACTTGACCCCAAGTTTCTAACTGTTCTATCTCCATTTTCATGGAACACAGAAAGAAATGTAATGAAGCAAGAAGCCTGTCATTTACACATATGTAACTCATGCATTTTTGTCAATGCAGGTTTTTCAATACAGAGTTCACACTGGTTTCATACGTGATGAGGAGACAAGCAAACAGTGGAGAACAGCAGTAGATACAATGCAGATAAGCAAGAAAGAAAAATTAAGAACGAAAAGATGGAGCTGTTTCTGAAAAATCAGGTAAGGAATTCAGATGATTCTCTATAAAGTGTGAAGTGCACAAAGAATTGTGCCAAATAGTTTACCCTGCACTTCCTGGTATTTCTGAGAATTCCTTCTATACGTGCCTAGGACATATGCACACACACCATACATACACCCTACTACCCCCACTTACACAATGAGCTGTTACTCTCAGTGCAAATCTTTATTATACTGGTATCCTACAGTTCTTTTAATAAAATCCATTTCCTGTATTTCATTTTATTTCCTTTAACTAAACCATTGTACTAGTTGCTACAGGAAGCCATCTGAGTAGTGGTTTGACAGAGGAGTAAAAGTGAGCTGTGCTGTCCGTGCTCCTGGTTCCCTCTCAACAGCCCCAAGTTCTGAAACCTTACAATGTCCTGTCCTCAAACCCTTGGGGCATTAAAGGCACACTGCAGAAAAGCACCATCTGTTATCACCCATCCCTCCCTTCCTCCAGGTGACAGGTGGAAAGTTTGTTTAGAGCTTGGGCACACTTGTATTTCCTAAGCATGACCAGAGAGGAGTCGAAATCTATTTACCAAAGACCAAATCTGGATGAACAGGAAAGAACAATTAATCCTTTCCTCTTCTGCTCTCCTGCTTTGGAGAAAAGCTGCTGCACTACTTGTAGTGTCACAATGGGAACAAAAATGTGGTGGAGATTGTATAATCTCTACCCCCTAAAACAAACTGGACACTAGGCTAACCACACATTACCTGATGGAACTGTTCATGACATAAACAGCATATAAACTTTTTAGTAATACTTTTAGAATAGTCTGAAATGATATTTTTGCCACAAACAGAAAATGGAAAGAAAACCACAGCGAAACATTACAGATCTATCTACTTAATTTCTACCTCTCCCTTCCACTCACAAAACTAAACTAACCTAAGATGCTGGTATAGCAACACACATGAAGTACTAAGAAATGTTTGCTTACATGTTTTTGATTCCTAAGTAACACCATCAGCTTATCACACCCATTTAATATATCCACAAAACAGAAATTGCTTTAGAGTTTGGCCCTGTAGAAGTACTTTAACCCATCTACAAAATACTTCTTTATGCTAATATTTAGTTTTCATAGAACAGAAACTAATGGTTCCAAACAGCACGTTTCAGAAGACTGACTCCAAACCTATGGAAATTAATGACTGTAAAAACACATTCTATGAATTCCCAAGAATTAATCTAAAGATTAAAACACACAAAAGTCCTCAGCCAAGCCTCACAAACTATACAAAACTCATTATTACTGCTAACATATCAATTATGTGTTGCACAATGCATGATAACACAATTCTCTACTCATGATAACTTGGTGCAGTTTGGTAGGATTGCCACATGTTGAGACATTCTGCCAGCTCCTGGTGTGTTGCTGATTGATGGCTGCTGGATGCTTGCAGAGTATCAGCAAGGATGCCTCCAATGGGAGAAGCAGCAACATACAGCTGCAGTTTCTCTAAGACATGCAATATTCATCAGTTACAAACTTGGGAATGTCATACTGAAAAAGCTACATGATAAAAGACACTGCATGGTGTTACAGCTGATTCCATTTGCCATATGGTATGTTATTATTTTGCATTGCCTTGGGGAGGGCACTAAAAGTGAAAGAATGGAACACACTCAAGGCATATAGAAAAATGAGAGCAAATTGCATAGTTCTTAATTATATCAATAAGGTCTGTAACTGAAACAGACATGAAACTAAATAATGAGTTGAAAGTACAATACACTACTTTCCAGCTACTAAAAAGCAATAAACTCTATCAGGAATATTTTAACAGGAAGAAATTTCCAGCCACGATATGTAGAGGCCCACAGACAACATCAAAGCAGACTTGACGTAAAAGTCAGCAAATGCTGTGTGCAATGCTACACATATTCTCAAAATATGTTTTTACATCAAAGATAATTTTACGTGGAGTAAGCTGGAGAAAACATTTAATCAGTAATCTCTAAATGAGATTCCATAGGCACAGCTATAATAAAACCAATACATGAATTATTAAAATAATAAAGTAGAAGGGTATTTGCTGAAAACAGTTGAAGTAAAACAATAATTAATTGTGTCCATTTGATATCAGGTAAGTGAGCTGTCCCTAGGACCTAAGAAATTTCAAAACAAACAACTCCTCCAAATTTAAAAAGTCTTTCTCTTTACAATATATCAGAATTCACAAGCAGAATTTTCTGACTGAAACAAAATCCAGTCAAGGTTAGATAATTCTTTGGGAGCTATGATTCACCACTGAAATTTTAAATGAGAAATATTGTGATACCAAATACCAGAAACATACAGGCCTGCTGGTTTTAGGAGTAGTTTGGCTCTAAATGCCATACTCTATTGAATAAGACATTTTAAGATCTGTTAAAAAACCTGAATATTTTCAAATTATTCATGATAATTGTGCAGTATTTCAGATGACATCTTCAAATCTGTCATCTATTCAAGTGTTCCATTTGAGCAGCCAAAAAGTAGATTGCTCCATTTAGCCAGACCTCCAGCAGGATTAAATCAGAAAAATTCTATTAATTCCAAATATTTCCTATTATGGGTTATGCAGTGTGCTTTTCTGTTAGTTTTTACCAGCTATTAAGAAGATTTATTTTTAATAAGTCATTTAAGTGTCTCAACGTCATTTGAAGAAAGCAGAAGCTACAGGTAAGTAAATAGAGGATCATGGCTGTATGGCCCTTGCTAGCTTGTACTCACTACCAAAACCCACTGGGTGCAGTTTCCCAGTCTCAGGGTTTGCAACTGCACTGGCTAACATCTGTAAATACTTGATGCCAGTAATGGTAGGAGGGGCCAAGCTGTAATTGCTGTGCAATTTACTGCATCCATTTTCATTTCTCAGCTAAAGATAACACCAAATCATGACACATTCTCCAGTGTCTTATCAAAATCTATGAAGTTTTCACACATTTCAGTGTGTGTGCCATTCATGCTTCTGTTCCAGCCATAAAAAAGGCTGATGGCAGAAATGACTGTTGTCACTGAATGAAGGTTATTATTCAGTGAGAGCTAAGGAAAGAAAGGAGGGGAAAAGAAAAGCCAGTTCTCAGTACTATACTCAAGGGTGTTCTTCCTTTTTAAGCAAGCTGGAATCTTGAATATGTGTTAACTGACAGCTCAAGTTTAAAGGCACAGTGTTGTAAATAGACTTGGCAAATTACCAGACATTTGTCTATTATTATCTTCTTTAAAGGAAATCTGTTTATTATTACTTGACAGAGCAATATTTGTATATTTTTTCTTCTAAGAATGAATTCAATTCCATACTAATGAAAGATAACTAGTGTTTGACGGAATTAGTGTTTACCTTACCCTACTACATTGAGAATTTAAAACTACATTTTAAATACTTTGATTTCTGCTATTCTGATAAACTCTGTCACCTTGACAACAACCATAAATGAATGCATTAGGAATGATAAATTTTCAGTGCAGCAGTTCTAAATTGGGAATGGAAAATAACTTTTTAAAATACTTAGTAATTTCTTCTGGAAAGATAGAAATGTTTAATTAAATATGGGAAATAGGATGTCAGTATAAATTCTTCAGACTAAAATCTTATCATAGCATAGTTATTATTTCTACTACTACTTTTTACTAAATTTACAAATTAGTCAAGTTTCACATTGAACAACTCAGAAAAAATCAAGAAAATGATAAATTATAGAGTTCAGGAGTCGAAGTCAAGGAAAGAATCATGCTCCAAAGCTTTCTCATGATGAAGTTTTTTTCTGCTAGTTCAATTCATTTAGGCACTTAATTTTTCTGATTAATTGATCACGACAGTACTTTAGTGTAATATTGATTGTCTCAGATGTGTAAACTTTCAATGTGTTCAGTTAGTTTAAGAAAATGCTGGCAGGCCAAGAATTTGTTGTGTTTCAGAGGAAGAACATATAATTACATTCAGCAAGAAAAATCAGAAATAAGGTATTTTTATCTAACTACAGTTTTTAAGTAAGCAAGGTTGACAAGTGGCAGTATCTTAAGAGGATTTCAGAGATGACAGAATCTTAAAGACATAACCTATTCAAGAGTACGCTGACCACTATAAAACCATCCTGTCAATTACATACAGGCTGGTTTTAGTGAAAATGCAGTATTTGAAAATTTGAAAAACTGGTTATATAATAATAATAACTGGAATAATAAAATTGTTAGTATGGTCAACCTCTGACTTTCACTTCCAGAGGCACTACTAAATCCGATTTTATAAATACACCTCTACTTAAAACCTTGAAAAATAAGCAACTGCTCTGTGCCTTACAGGTTCCTCAGACCTAGCTAAACACAATTTGTTATATTTTAGGCCTGCCTTCTTTTGAGATATAGTTCAGTCGTCAACTCTCATATATTTCTTCTAAAAAGATACCCTGCTGGATATGTGCAGTACATTATGAACCGATTTGTGTTAGAGTACTTGTATCTTCACTGGATCATGAAGTGTTGAAACCATGAGTGAACAATAGTATAGTAAAGAAAATATTTAGGATCTCAGTGCTTTTTCTAAATTAAGTTATTTACAGCTGGTGCTTCCAAATTCTTTCTTAGTCCTCTTCCTCATTTTGCCTCCTTATTCTGCTTCCAAAATGCTTCCTCATTTTAAATCTAAGTCTTTTTATGGCAGCAAAAGCTGACAGACTCTCAAGGTAAACAACTGGCAAAGACTCAAACCCTAATCACTCAGAATGACTTTCTGTAGTTCAGAACAAACCTCAGTATCATTTGAGAGTGAGGGCCACAATATGCCCTTAACAATCCAGCAAGGTTATTTGTTATTTTTAGGGGAAATCCCATTTTGCAAGCGAGCCTTTTAACTGCCATGTCTACACTGCACAAATGGGCAATCCACTCACGAGAACTGAACAGCTTCCTATGCCCGTATTCCCAGGGATGTACCTGTGGCTTTGATATACTGGGTAGGTTCAAAGAAAAACAATTATTTGAAGTAAACAACAGAATCTG